CAATCATATGTGATGGTAGTTGTTGTAAAAAAAACTATCTGTAAAGTGTTCAATAATAGGGTTAAATTGCTATATAAGAAAGTAAAAGGCCTTTTCCTCTAACGAGTTTCAACTTTAATCATTTTTCTCTTCTCTCTCACACAACACTAACAAAACTTGAAAGTGGGAAGATATTCCTTGAAATGGTATAAATCAAGTCGCTTTTAATAAAATTCATGTTATTGTTATCTTGATGTGATAGTAATTAACTAATATATGGCTATTATTATTTAAGAAATGGTTACGATAGTAAATTTATGAGCAAATATTTTTTTATTTATTTAAAAAATTAAAAAATTAAAAAAAAATTTAAAATAAAAATTAAAAATTTAAAAAAAAAAAGAAAAAATAAAAATTAAAAATATTATTATTATTATTACTACTACTACTACTACTACTACTACTATTATTATTATTATTATTATTATTATTTTTTTTTTTTTTTTTTTATTTAGCTCCTATTGTCGTGGTTGGCGGTGGCGGTGGCGGCGGCGTTGTTGGCGTTGTTGTTGTTGTCGTTGTCGTTGTTGTTGTCGTTGTCGTTGTTGGCGGCGTTGTTGGTGGTGGAGGATGTCGGGTGGTGGTGGGCTCAACTCAACTCCTAGGGCTATTTGTTGTTGGGAGTAAAGCCTCCAGTGCTCCTCCCTCGCCAACATACGCAACCTCGCCAATTCCATCGTCTCCCTCGACCTTGGCGGGATACCTGTTGGAAATGCCCACCCAGGCCGAGGGATCAAAGGGAATTGGGGAGGAAGAGTAGGTTGGCGAGGGGTTGGTGTTAAATGAGTGTGGTGACGAGGAGGAGGAGGGCGACGAGTGTGGTGACGAGGAGGGGGAGGAGTGTGGTGACGAGGAGGGGGAGGAATGTGGTGACGAGGTGGAGGTGAAGGAGTGTGGTGGTGATGGTGACGAGTAGGAGGAGGAGTCTGACGAGGAGGGAGAGGAGAGTGGTGACGAGGAGGGGGAGAGTGGTGACGAGGTGGAGGTGAAGGAGTGTGGTGGTGATGGTGACGAGTAGGAGGAGGAGCGTGATGACGAGGAGGAGGAGGAGGAGTGTGATGTTGTGGTGATGACGGTGGTGATGGTGAGGGGGAGGGCGTATCCACGACAATAGGAGCATCTCTGTTACATGTATATTAAAATAATAAGAAAATAATTAGTCGGCGATAGTAATTATAATCAATAAAATATAATATTTTTGGATTTTGTAAGTGTTCGTTGGCAATGTTTGTTAATTGATTGATTACCTGGTGCCAGACATTTTGTGTGTGTGTGTGTGTGTGTGTGTGATTGTGTGTGTGTGTGTGTGTGTGTGTGTGCGTGGTGTGTGTGCGTGTGTGTGCGTGTGCGTGTGTGTGTGTGTGTGTGTGTGTGGAGTATATAGTAGTTATAGTTTGTGGATAAGAAAAAGACACTGGTATTTATATGTTTTCAAAAAAAATTTTTTTTCATCAAGTCTTTAATAAATTGTCAATTGTAAACAAAAGTATTCTTTTGAACAATCGGATTTACATAAAGAATTGTCGAAAAAAAATAGATGATTCAATTGAATTAACACTACTATTACATAAAAAAACATATTATAACAACAACTGTCTAAATAAAGATTCAATTCACACGTTTATTGACATGATATCATTACATTTGTACTCTGTTCACACGTTTGTTGATATCCTATAACAAATGTATTATAACAACAACTGTTTAGATTTCACTGATATTCTATTACATAAAAAAAATATATTATAACAACAAAGATTCATTGATGTTCAATTCACACGTTAATTAACATGCTACTACAATATATATATATATATATATATATTTATATAACAAACATATTATAACAACAATTGTCTAGATTTTATCAATATTCAATTTACACATTTATTAACTACTATATATAAAAACATAGTAACAATGTTCAAAACAAAATTTTCGTTGTTATTTAATTCACATGTTGATTGAAACATAATTATCAAAAAGTAGCGATGATGTAATAACAATTGATATATTTTTTTTTTAACGATGTAATTTTTTTATTAATTTAAAAATTGTATAAATATACATCAAAAAAATCTAAATTATTTAAAATGCATGTCTTACCATAAAAGTATTGCTTGACCATTGTTTATTATTATATATATATATACATAAAAAATATAATGTTGATGTAACACAACTGTCTAAATAAAGATTTCATTTATATTTAAATTCACACGTTATTTAATTTTAATGTACCCAAACAAATAACCTAGATCCAATTTTAATTCTTCTATTATAGGAAATACATGTACTACCAAATTCCAAGTAGGAGGTCCAACAATTATTGTACCTATCAAATGATTATTTTTCAATTAACTACTATATATAAAAACATAGTAACAATGTTCAAAACAAAAATTTTCGTTGTTATTCAATTCACATGTTGATTGAAACATAATTATCAAAAAGTAGCGATGATGTAATAACAATTGATATATTTTTTTTTTAACGACGTAATTTTTTTATTAATTTAAAAATTGTATAAATATACATACATCAAAAAAATCTAAATTATTACCATTGTTTATTATTATATATATACATAAAAAATATAATGTTGATGTCTAAATAAAGATTTCATTGATATTTAAATTCTAATTTTAATGTACCCAAACAAATAATCTATATAGATCCAATTTTAATTCTTCCATTATAGGAAATACATGTACTACCAAATTCCAAGTAGGAGGTCCAACAATTATTGTACCTATCAAATGATTATTTTTCAATATACCAAGCCAGTTCTGGTTAAAATTTTTAATTTAATTATTTACTTAATTTATTTATACAGAACTTTTTATTGATCTTGTAGATCGATCTTTTAATATGGAAATGCAACACAAATTGTATATAGTAGCGGTCATTTTATTGATGTGCAAATTTACTATACACGTTAACGCATCGTTATTAAAACAATTTCATAATAAGTGTACATTTTACGATCTTCACAAACATCTTTATCATATCACTTATTGCTTCTTCGCATGATTTGTCTAAATGGCTTATTTACTGTATGTTAATAACTCTCAATTGGCATTGTGGTGCAGAAAGTTCTGCGTGATTTCATTTCCTTGATTAAATTTATTTGTATCTGATCTGACCTGGTTCTTTAAATGTTGATCTGACCCGATCCAAAATAATGTATATAATAATAATAACAATAATAATAATAATAAATTTATTAATGAAATAAATTATTTAAAAAGCAATTTTATGAATTAAAGAAATTACTTATGATTTAAGTAAGGCTTTATGGAATTTTTTAAAAAAATTTATTAATCATTACATTATGAACCTTATTAATTCCATATATACTACCCTGACCAAAAGTTTATGAACGATGTTTTTCGTTAATTACGTAAAATTCTACATAATAGAAATACATAAAATTTTAACATTAGATAGCTTAGTTTTTTGTTCGTTTTCATATAAAATTTGATGTTTTTTGTATCTCTAGTACTTTATTAATAAATAAAAAAAAACATATGATTTTCAATATTTTAACACATCTAGATTTTATTCCTTTCGTTATTTTTTTCCTAGATCTAAATTGTGATCGGCAAAAATTTTAAAAATTGAAGTTGCAGTGAAAGAAGATGGTTAAAAATATCTTACGAAGCTTTAGAAAAAACTCATTGAAAGCATGTCAAGAAGAATTGAGCCGTGCATTTCTAATAATGGGTGGCCCACTAGATATTGGTTTTTTTTCAAAAAAAAATTATTTTGTTTTTTTTTAATTAACAAAGTACTATAAATACAAAAAACGAATTTTATATTAATGTTAAAAGGTGATACAAGAGGGGCGGCAAAATTTGAGTTTTAAAATTTATCACGTGTACAAATTTTAGCCAATAAAATTTAAGAA